GCCCCTAAGATTTCACTACCATGTGTACCAGTGCAGAACTGCACACCTGCAGCCTCCTGGGATTGACATGCAAGGTCCACCAGATCTGGTTCCATGACAAGCTGACCTAATGGCAAAAAAAGGATTGGTTCCAGGAAAACTCTTTGAAAATATTTTTCATAGGAATAAAAAATGAGATTTACTATAACAAAGGGAAAGGAGGAAGCACTGTCGCAAGCAGTGAGGACCTGCTGACATATTGGAGAATTTTCCCTCATGGTGCATTGTGTGAAGCAACTGACTCCCCATCACAAAGAAGGAACTTATTTAAACCTCCTGGGATGTATGCTGCTGAAAAAACTTGAGACATCAGATTCAGGATTGTGGCACTGTGGTACAGCTGGCTGGCATGGGACTAGAAATAAGAACAAGGGATCCCCAAGTACTTCCAAGCTACTGTTTGACATGCCAAGCCTTGAGAACAAAATGATGTCTTCCAGCTCTCCAGCATGGAGCATGCTGCCAGACAGGAATAGACTGTTAACACCTCATCCAATGAGATCTGCCAATTCTGCCTGATTAGAGTGAAGGCTGATGGTTTTTCAGGGGGATGAATGACAGTTCAGTAGGAAAGGACTGACTGAACAGTTGTATGTGACTTCACTCATCTGCTTACAGCATATCACTTATCATGATGGTATTCAGAAGTCTCCCTGGAAGGAATTCCAAACACCCATTAATTTGAAATCTTTAAAAAAAAGATAGTAACTAAGGTGTTCACTAACTACCACGTGGAATTACTATGTTGTTTCTTTTTTCCTTTACTAGCTTCTTTACCTCATCAACAGCTACAAAAGTGCTAATTTTTGAGGTAAAACTGAAAACTGTTGACAGTGGGAAGAAAACAGTGTCTTACAGGTCATTATTAAAAGACTAGACTTTGGACGTGAATGGAAGAGATAAATTAAGCTGCTGGATAAACAGAGCTCACATATTCTACACAGTCATGTAATGATGTATATACAATAAAGATAGCATGATTTCAGTGTAATATACTCAACTACAGATAATACATGCTCATCTGGTTGAATTAGTGTACGACCCTTGCTTGGCTCCCTCCCCTGACCACTGTTGTTGCCAAAGTACATAGTGATTAATGTGCCTTCAGCAAATGAGATCAGCTCTGTCTGATTGTATTAGTTCCTGTTCATTGGAGTAACTGAGCATCAATCACGTTCTAATCAGAGCTCACGTGTGCGGATTTTTTTTGTGAACAGCCTCCCCATCAGGTTCTATCGCAGCCTAGATTAACTCCTTAATAATGACAAAAATGAAAAGGAAGTATTTTTCCCCTAAATAATAAACATGGTTTCATTTTTTAACTGGACAATCCTGTCACTTTAAATTGTCATTGTTGCTTTAAAGTGTGCTAAAGATAAAAATAGCAAGTTTGAAACTGCAGCTATTACTGTCATGTAGATGGCTTAATAATATAAATACTGCAGCATCTCTTAAGAGTATTACTGTTAACTGGCATTGCTTACCTTTAGAAGTAGTCCAAAAGAATCAAATTAAGGGACCTTACTATTCAACTGAACTGTATTTTAAGAGGTACTGATACCCAAATATTATTCAAATTATGATCCACCAAGAAAAAAATCATCCTTGTAGTGTGTAGCAATACCATACTTGTCATACACAGAAGCAAGGAGCTCAGAAGAATGAATGTTCAGCAAAAGATGAACATCAGTGCTGATACATTTGACTCTTAAAAAGAAACAACTAAATTAAAGAGAACCCTTATCTTTTGTCAAGTGGTGCCAGCTCCTCTACTCAACAGTTTCTTACAATCAAGAGCAGCACATTGTGTTTAGTGACGGATTTGGTAATTGTGCATGACTAATCACACCTCAGTGTCTGGGCAGTACAATAAATGAAGCCCTCACAATCTAATGTTCCCACTTAATAATTACTCCCTGCATTGATCTTTCTGATCTGTCAAGGAGGAATGAAAATATTACACTCACTTTAAACCCTGATATTGAATAATAATTCTGTTATTACCAGGCAGCTATCCAGAGAGTGGTCTTAACACACTAATGAGGATGGCAGCACTTCATTTGACCAGAGGAAAAAGACTCTGGGCCTGGGAACAAGTGGCTGTCCATCCTGGACAATGCACTTGGAATTGGATAAGCAAAATGGTTTGCAAAGCCCTGAAAAGCTCTGGATCTTTGTCAAAGGTTCACAGTATCTACATGATTTGATTGTGCTGTTGTTCTGTGCAAGATTCAGGCAGGGATCAGCACTGTTCTCTTTCTGTTGTGGTTTAACCCCAGCCAGTCACCAAACACCACACAGCTGCTTGCTCACTCCCCAACAAGCAGGATGGGGAAGAGAATTGGAAGGGTAAAAGCTAGAAAACTCATGGGTTGAAATAAAGACAGTTTAATGGGGAAAGCAAAAGCCATGCACACAAGTAAAGCAAAACAAGGAATTAATTCACTGCTTCCCATGGGCAGGAGATGTTCAGCATCTCCAGGAGAGCAGGGCCCCATCATGCATAACAGTTTCTTGGGAAGACAAACACCATCACTCCAGATGTCCCCCCTTCCTCCTTCTTCCTCCCATCTTATATACTGAGCATGATGTCCTATGGTATGGAATATCCCTTTGGTCAGTTTGGGTCACCTGTCCCAGCTGTGTCTCCTCCCAGTCTCCCATGCACCCCCAACCTCCTTGCCAGTGTGGCAGTATGGAAAGCAGAAAACACCTTGACTCTCTGTAAGCTCTGCTTAGCCACAAAAACATCTTTATATTATCAACCCTGTGTTCTGCACAAACCCCAAACACAGCCTCATACTAGCCACTGTGAAGAAAGTTAACTCTACTTCAGCCCAATCCAGCAAGGCTTTAAATTTTGTATTTCTAGTAAGACCAAACTCAAGTAGTAACCAGTCTACCGAGACAGCCCTTTGCTAAAACATCCTTTCATGCATGGGTTTGGGAGTTTCAGAGAAAAGCCCCAAAACCTGGATCTTCCCCTAAAACTTCTGTGAGTCATTCCCACTTTCTGACCATACCAAAGTCATTTCCACAATAGCTGGTGCCCAAGTTGCAGTCAAAGCAATCTGGGAAGTATTTTGCTCAGTGTGGTCCACCCATGCAATTTTAAATGACCAGCAGTCTATATCACAGGGGATACTCAATGCTGAGCTGATCCTTGTCAGAAAACACATCACTCTGGCAAGCAGTCAACAGAGACAATGGAAGTATATATTTTCATTTGCATACTAAATGACGAAAGTTTCATTTCTTAGCTAAGACAGAATCGAGCAGGTACAGGAACTGAGCAAAGGAAAGTAGTCCAAAGAAATGCCCCTTGCCCAATGTATGGCATAACAATTTCTCTGCATTTGTCGAACACAGGACTGAAAGAGACCTTGTTCTGCACTTCCACCTGCAGATGCTTGTAATTTTAACCAATGTCACATATAGCTGTTTTTGCAAATGTCCTGAGCACCATCATCAAAACAGTTGGGATTCTCATATCTCCACTATTCAGCATGGGAAAACAGCTCCACAGTGTCACTGTCTGGACAGGTATGAACTACCTCTAATTTCTAGGTTATAATTATCTGCTGACAATACTTATTTGCTGTTGTGTCATTATCATTCACATTTATCGTAGCTAGATCCTCTTCTTCCCTATGTATAACTTCTCAATAGACCTACTAGAACCTTCTCTTTTGCTAAGCTGACCAAAACCAAACTCCTGCCCTCTTCTCTCTTTAGAGCAGCTGTCCATTTGCTCCATTAGTTCATCCACCTTGGAGATGAGAGACAAGGAATGTGTAAAACCAGTCCAAAGATCTCTTGAATAAGTGCCCAACATAATGTCACCACTACTCCCTTCTCCGCTGGATATCCCAGTCTTACCCATTCAAGGATTATATTTGCCTTTTTCACAGCTGCCCCACACTCTTTTTCACAGTCCTTGCCCATTCCAGGGTGGGCAGGCCTGCTTCAATACAATGAGACAGGCTGTTTTTCTTCTTCCCAAATGAGAGGCTAAGTGAGCTGAAGGAGAAGTTCCAGGCTCAGTGCCAAACTTCTGCCTCTTGGCTTCTAGCTCTGGAACCAGGAGTCACTGTATGTCATTCAGCATTGGCTCCTGTGCTCTCTTTCACATGCATTTTGGAGACTGTTAATCCCTTCCACAGTCACCTAGCGTATGAACTCTCTGGGAGTTGTTTCCAACTGATAAGATGAAGGTTTGTGTTCTTCTGAACTAAAATCCTCACCTTGCATTATACTTTTGGATTTCATCCATTTTTAGTAACCCAGTCCTCTTGGCTGCTTAGCTATTCCTGTGCAATATTCCTACTCTGCAAAGTACTTGCCACCATTTGCTAACTTATGGCATTAGCCCATTCCATCCTCACTTGCACTCTCTAACGTGTGGTGCCAATATTCCTCATTAAAATATTCAACAAGAAAAAAACCAAGGACTT